ACGTGCATTGAAAGAAATTATTCGTGATTACTGTGAGAATTCTGGCTAATACAACCATACTGTATTGTTGGATTTGTTACTGTGATACGCTAAAAGAATTTTGGACAGGCTGCTGGCTTTTCATGTCCGAAATTAGAAGTCCTGTCACAGGGCTCGGAGCTCACCTCAAAAAGGCGAGAATCTCCTTTCGAAAGGTGAGCAGCTGCCCCTGAGGAGTTGCTGCTTACCTTTCGGGAGTAGATTCTTGCCTTTTTGAGGTGAACTGCAAGTCTTGAGGCAGCGAGCTCCAGCGGCACCGATGTAAAGCCTGCAGCCTGTCCAAAATTCTTTCAGATATCGTATACGATATCACTATTTTAGTCATTCTACTTTGTTTGTTTCGAATACGTCTGCGCACAACGCTTTTAACAAACGCACCTAACCTTCTGTTTCACACACGAAAGCTGAGTTTGTAATAATGACACTCAGTATGGTTGAATCAGCCAGAAAACGGAATAGGCAAAACTATAACATAAAAATTGTAGTAATACGAAGAGACAAATCACAGAATGACATTTAAATATCATTGATACTCCCAGTAATAAGGGGTGAATTAAAGTGGATTGGCATTTTTATGCCCTTAAATTCCAAACCAATTCCGTTTTTGTCCACAATCTTAATGAATTCCTTTTCTATTGTTAAATTGATAATTTCTATCCGATTCAATTCTCTGTAACTACGTGACCAGAGTCTGAATTTACACAGAAAAAAAGTCTTGAATAAAGTCTACAAACGAGCTAATTTTAAGATCCCACACAGCGCCGAAACTTTCCTAAAAATTTATTAAAGATTTACTTGTAAACTTCGAAGTATTTACTTGAAAAGTTTAGTGAAAATTTTGTAAAGATTTAAATGTCCTACTTCAATAAATGTTTAGCGTGAAACTTTCCTGAAAATTTAAAAAAAATTTTCGCCTACTGTATATATAGTCGAAAATTTAATTTAAATTTTCAGGAAAGTTTCAAGTTACATTTTCGCTTATAAGAGAGAAGTCAAAAATTTAATTTAAATGTTCAGGAAAGTTTTAAGTTAAATTTTTAGAAAAATTTGACTATAAACATTTATTTAAGTGGGACATTTGAATCTTTACACAATTTTCACTGAACTTTGCAAGTAAATTTTTCGAAGTTTGCAAGTAAATCTTTAATAAATTTTCAGGAAAGTTTTGGTGCTGTGTTGGATGCAGGGGAGAGTCTCCAGTTGTGAGACACCTCCAGTTGTGAGACAGTCAATTTTTTTTAACATGCAATATTAAAAAGCCGATTGGTTTATATAAAAACATTTCTTTTTATATGAGCCAACTTTTTCGTGTACGCCGAAGCGGATATATAAACGAATACGAATTTGCAGGCATACTATTTAAATGTTGTTTTGATTTTTTTTCTAGTATTTTTGGGCATGTCGAGTGGAAAAAAGTCAATTGATTCAGAAGAATAGTATATTAAGCAACAAGAGGAGAAAGGCAGCCATTTCTTTACGGTGATTTTTGTGACACGAGTGGAGGTCGACGTTAGCAGTCAATTCAAAAGAATAGAACTTCATATTTTTTTCAAAAACTTGCAATGCCATAAAACTTTGCGCATTAGGAAAAATAGAAAATTTGAATTCTTTTCTATCTCCCGATCGACGAGAGCAATAGAGAAGACTTGATTTTTCTGAAATTTTGATGGTTCCCGTGGAATAGAACTCCGAGGTAAATTCGCGTATTCAGAATAATTCAAAATTCTCGTTTTCAAGCATATTTTCTAGAAATTGAATTCTTTTCTATTCTACGCTTCTTACTGGGCACATATACACAGAAATTCTTGGTTTCCCTTGCAAATGTACACGTATTTATAATAGTGTGCACTAAGAGACCTGAGTACAAACATCTGTCCCCCTCTTTGACTAGTTCCTCATTTCTCTATCTCCAAAGATTGCTATCTCTCTCTAACCAATGCCAGATTCGTAATCAGCGACCCCGAAAACCCCCGAGTAACAGTTTTCAAATAAATCCGATGAATTCTGCTTCCTCGTGAGGAAGCTTTGTAGTCATTTAATTTACAAAATTTTTAAAAATCCTTTTAACAAATTTTCTTCTATATAGGACTAGACTATGTTATATAAGACCCTGAACAATTGTCCGGATGTATGTATGGATGTGTGTGTGTGTGGATCCCGATTTTTGTGAACACAATAACTCGAAGAGGTTTTAACGAATTTGGCTAAAATTTACTAGGTATATTTATCATAAAAATATCTCGAAATAGATTAATAGACTTTAAAAAATTTTCAAAAAAAATTTTTTTTTGACTTTTTTCTAAAAATTTTTTCTTTTTTAAATTTGTTTAAGTTGGTTATTGAAGTTAATATATAATAAAATCTTATTCTCTGCATCAAGACAAACCGATTGGTATATAAAAAGTATATATTGTATTTAAATTTATAGAATTAAAACCAATTATAGAAAAAAAATTTGCACTTTTAATAAAAATTCATTTTTTCTTAAAAATCATGTTGCTGTACAATAAAATGTTATTATTTATTGAAAAATAAATTAAAAATCTTACTCTTTGCATCAAGACGAATCGATTGATGTATATAAAGTATATATTCTATTGAAAATTATAAAATTAATTACAATTGAAGTTGAAAAATTCACTTTTTTACTAAATTTTTTTTTGTTTTTTAGATTTATATTACTGTATAAGAAAATTTTATTCTTTCTATAAGGACGAATGAACTTTATTTTATAAATGTTAAATTGTATTAAAAATGATTTAAAAATGAAATATATTTATCGTTAATGCTTCCTCCACGAGGAAGCAAATTTTTTTTGCTGATCGTAAAGAGGAAGAAAAATGTTCATGTAATGATCATCTGAATTTACAACTTGTTTAATATTATCATCCGCCATATTGGATCCGCCATTTTGAATTTTGAAAAATAAATGTCGTAATCAGCGACCCCGAAAACCTCCGAGTAACAATTTTTAAATGAATCTGACGAATTTTTAATATTGTTATCCGCCATATTGGATCCGCCATTATGAATTTTGAAAAACCAATGTCATATTCGTAATCAGCAACCCTGAAAACCCCCGAGTACCAACTTTTAAGACGATTACTTTACTTTTTGTCTAATGGCCGGGTTTTTTATTTATTTGGCCCCACTGTGCAATGTACTCGGAAATCTATTGTTAAAGAAAGGTGCGTAGTGAATTGGTCATTGTGACTGAGTTGAGTCGAGCGACCAAAAGAAGGCATTGTTTTGAAGGTTTATGATTGTTTAAACAAAAATTTTATTACTTGAAACTTGATCAATTTAACTAATTGAAGTTTATAATTTAAAAATTTAGAATCTGTGATATTTCATGATTCCAAATATATCTAAAATTTATTCCCAAAACCTTCATTTTGAAGAAATTATATAAGCTATCTCGTGAACTATAACTGATATATAAATACTGATATCATTTTTGAATTTTAAGCCAAAAGAATATAATGTATACGTAAAACAGTCTTCAAAATAATCTGAGTTTATAAACATTATAAATATAATGTTGAAATAAACAAAAATTATTTTAAACCTTAAAAAAGGTATAATGGTTTTTCGATGGTACACCTAAGTTATAAAAGGCATAACGACCTTTTTACATAAAGGAACAAGAATACAGCCCCAAAAAAGATTTTTTGTTATGCTATAAAAAAATTCGGTGGCAGTCATAAAAGTTTTCATGATTCTTGGCAGTATTTTGAAGGATTCTATTTCTTTTTCATGTTTTTGAGCTGCAATTGTAAGAAATACTGCCTAAAACACCAGAAATTCTGATTATTTTTCTGATGTTTTGTCATTATTTTTTTGGTAGGGTGTAAATAGTCATTCATTTGTTCGACCGTATGAAAACGGCCCGCCATTTTCATACAAGTCGAACAAGTGAATGACTTTTACTCCCTGTCGTCTGCTATCTGAAATCGCCACTTTTGTGCATTAGGAATAAAAAATATCGCAAGTAACACGGGAATAAAGGCAGTCCTAATTTATTTACGATGATTTTTGTGACACGAGTAGAGGTTTCGGGGCGCCCTCGACCTCCACTCGTGTCACAAAAATCACCGTAAATAAATGGCTGCCTTTATACCCTTGTTGCTTAATATACTATTAGTTGGGCATCAATAAAATTCTGAGTCATAAATAGACTCTATTTAGTCACCCAAAAATTCATACCTGTTTTACCCTTCCCCTTCCACATAACGACAAACTATACCCAGTAAGAAGTAAGGAATTAATAAGAATTCGAAATTTTTAATTCTTTTGAATTCCGATTGTGACCAATTCTTTTCATTTTTATTTGGAGAAGCCGAAAAGAAGCTAAGTTTATTCTTTTAAATACCGTTTTAATATTTTAAGCGGAAAAAAAATTTGACGGTTCGAAGAATTAAACCCTCAAGCTTCATTGTCGGAGACAAACCGCTTGTCCGCTCAGCTATTTAAACTGTACTATGACTACCGAATTTTAGAAGCACTTATCTCAAAGTGTTGCAAACTTCAAAGGAATTAAAAAATTACAAAATATTAAAACGGAATAGACAGGAATTGAACTTACCGAGTATCACACAGTATTTCGGAATTCACAAAAATTAAAAAATTAAAGAAATATTAAAACGGAATTGATTGGAATTCACTTTCAAGAAATCTTTGCCTAAAAAAGAAATACATAGGAATTGGACAGAAACGGAATTCAAAAAAATGGATAATTTAACATTTTCTGTAGAAAGTTAAAAATGTCCAATTCTTCTCAATTCCTTAATTCTTACTGGGTACAGAGAGGAAAAAGGAAAGGAGTAGGAGAGGAGCCTGACGCACCTGACCGCTGTCGTCACAGGCAATGACGCACTTTTCGAACAAGTCGTTTAAGCACTACAGCAACTATCCTTGCCCCGTTCTCTCCTACGAATTACAAGAAATTTAAATTGACTTACTTAATTTGTTATTCCTTAAACATTCTTGTATAGAAACTCCAAAAATGTGAATACTCTCTTTAACAGTAATATCTAAATTATAAACATGGACACCAAGTTCGAGTAACTCCTTTGCATTTGATCCATTAATATTAAGAACACTAGCAATAACAGTAAATCCAAGAGAACGACAATATACTGCCAAACTATATCCTAAGCCAGAATCACATCCAATTATAATAACAGTTTTATTAAGTTTAACATCATTTGCTGCATTAAATTGTAGATATAAAACAGCTACTCCTGTAATTAAATAATTATTTTTATTACTTAAATTATTACATTTGCATCTCATGAGCAAGTCCTATATAATTAGTCAAAAATTGACTGAATTGGGCATTTCCTCGAAAAAGCTGACATTTTTGTCCGTGCGTAACGACATTAAAAATAGTCTTTGATACATTATGCTAAGTAAAAATTCGTGAAGTGCCCCCCTCATCCTATTTTCTCAAAGTTGTAAAATTTTGAAATAAGTATTTGTATTTGAAAGTAATCGGGTAATATTTTCACGGAAAATTTTAAAAATATTTAAATTTTATTTATATTTTTTATTGTTATACTTAAAGATTTTTGAACCCTTTTAATGAAATAATTTTAACTAATTGAGGCCTTGGATCCAATAACTCGCCCGACGCTCGAAGACACGCGCTAATACCAGTCGGGTAGCAGTGAGTTGCCCAGAGGCGCTCACTGCTCACTGACTGGCAGTTGCGCGTTCCTCCGAGCGTCGGGCGAGTTATTGGATCCAAGGCCTCAATTGAGTTTTTGCATAACACGGTGGTCTTCAAGCACTTTTAGGTTTACCTAAAATGCCCAGTAAAAAAAATTCGATACACGGACCGCGGAGTTCGTATACGAGCTCGGTAGCTCGTATGAGAAATATGAGAAATCTCTCATACGAGCCTTTTCCGTAATGAGAAGTGTATAGATGCTTGTATACGAGGTGACTTTTAAAGCATTTTTATTAATGTAACACTATTTTAAAGTAAATTTAGATAATAGAAATGAATTATCTCATCTAAAACAAAACTAAATTCATAAGGGAAATGAAGTTTTAAGAAAAAAAGAATAATTTTGTTCAAAAAATTTATTCACATGAAAAAAGGTTAGAATTTGATAATTCCTTGTTACTCTTACTTACCGACATTAGATATTTCTCGGATGCAGTAAGCACGATTTTGTATTAGCGGTAGAATAAATAAGTTATTCTTCATTACTAATTAATAATATATTATTATTTATTTATTATATAAATGTTTTTATATAAAATAATTAAATTTAATACAAAATCGTGCTTACCGCATCCGAGAAATATCTAATGTCGGTAAGTAAGAGTAACAAGGAATTATCAAATTCTAACCTTTTTTCAGTGTGAATACATTCTTTTAACAAAATTATTCTTTTTTTCTTAAAACTTCATTTCCCTTATGAATTTAGCTTTGTTTTAGATGAGAAAATTCATTTCTATTATCTACATTTACTTTAAAACAGTGTTACATTAATAAAAATGCTTTAAAAGTCACCTCGTATACAAGCATCTATACACTTCTCATTACGGAAAAGGCTCGTATGAGAGATTTCTCATACGAGCTACCGAGCTCGTATACGAACTCCGCGGGCCGTGTATCGAATTTTTTTACTGGGTGAGTCAAAATTGTGCTAACGCAGTTTTATCTGGAATCGTCCCAAGATTCCAAATTTTCATTTCCGAAAATCGTAGCTGATTGTTTTTTCGAAAAAAACATATATATATAATCAGCTACGATTTTTGGAAATGAAAATTTGGAATATTGGGACGATTCCATAGATAAAACTGAGTTAGCACAATTTTGACTCATTTTTGGTACACCTAAAACTGCTTGAAGACCACCGTCATAAATTGAACAAAAATTTATGGTTTGCAGTAAGTAAATATACTTTTGAGTAATAAAATAAAAATTTTTTTTAATTATTTTTTTTTAATAATTTTTTTACAAATGGGTTAGATTTTCTCAAGTGGACTTTAAATTTTCAAAAGTTGAAATTTATCAGTGTAAATGTGCAAAAAGATAGTTCTATTAGAGTTACGAATAACCTGTAAATTTTATTAAAAAATATTCAATTGTTTTTTTTTAATAAACAATTGAAATTTTATGCATAACATTTTTAAAAAATGCATAACTTTGACGAAAATTGACGAAACTTGATGATTCTTTTTGCAAATTAACTATGAAATTACAAACTTTATAAAAATAATGTTTACTCCATCGAAGCTCTTAGGGGCCGTACACATAATACGTCACGCGATTTTTGACCACTTTTAACCCCTCCCTCCCCCTATGTCACACTTCGTCACAAATCTTGAACCCCCCCTCCCCCCTACGTCACGTCACACACGTAAATTTCACTGTAAATTTTATACATTGGACAATATATATGTATATTATATCTTACACTCTAAATTATTGAATCAGTTAAGAATATCGGATTTAGAAGCAAAAAATCAGTCACTAATTCAATTAGTAATATTTTTTTCTGACAATTAGTTGAAAATAACTGATGTTTCAATACAATTGTTTTTGATTGATTCAATTAGTCACGTTTAACTACCTACATAGCACCGAAACTTTCCTAAAAATTTACTAAAGATTTACTCGCAAGCTTCGAAATATTTAAATGCAAAGTTTAGTTAAAATTGTGTAAAGTTTTAAATATCCCACTTCAATAAATGTTTAGCGGGAAACTTTTCCGAAAATTTAAGTTATATTTTCAGGAAGATTTTCACGAAAGTATAGTCGAAAATGCAATTCAAATGTTCAGGAAAGTTTCAAGCTATATTTTTAAGAAAATTTGACGATAGACATTTATTGGAGTGAGAAATTTAAATCTTTACACAATTTTAAAATAAACTTTGCAAGTAAATTTTTTAACTTATGCAAGCAAATCTTTAATATACAATATTTAGAAAAATTTCGGTGTTTTGTGGATAATTTTTCAGTTATTTTTAACTGATTCAGAAGCAAAAAGTCAGTCACTGCTGATTGACAGTTAAAACCATGATTTTTAACTGATTCAAATTAAGAGAATATCCCATGTAGAAATTTCGCTATGGTCCGGATCAGGGACTCATCGGGCCTTCCATATTAGGGAATGAAACACACGGCCTGATATGGCCCTGATCAGGAAATCCACATTTGATCGTCGCCCCGATCTGGCCCAGGTCGGGCCGTGTGTTTCATTCCCTAATATGGCCATAATAGGGATATTTCTACACGGGATATTATTTATCATATTATAAATAATATGCCAATAGATGTTAAGGGGTAACATCACCCAGAGCCTATACAAAATACGGTCTATTTCAATTAATTATTTTAAGAAAACGGTTCAGTACAATGTTGCTAGGTTTTCTGCAACGTTAAACACATGAATTAAACTTAATTTAAAAATAAAAAAAAATTTTTTGTTTTCAAAATGGCGCCTTCACAACAGTTCAACGTAGATCACGTTTTTTAAAACAACCTCTGCAGCCGGAAGCTTTTCTACGTTCCATAAGCACCTAGGCAAAAAATTCAAACGAATTATGAAAGAGGATGACATTTACTAGAAAAGTACATAGGATATTTTAAAAATATCAATTTTTCGCAAAATGGTATGACTTCGATGACAAAAATGTTATTTTTTGTTAAAAAATCAAGGTAAAAATGGTTATAAAACGGAAACGCATTAACCGATCTAAAAAATCCTATGTACTTCGATAAAGAATGTTGTTTTAAAGCTACAGTCTAAATTTTAATTGAATCCGTCAAAAAATGTTGGAGAAATCCTTCCGGCCAGTTTTTTTTACAATTTTTTCACTGTTGGATGTGTAAAGGCGCCATTTTGAAAAAATTTTTTTTTGTTTTATTTTTAAATTAAGTTTAACCCATGTGTTTAACGTTGGAGAAAACCCAGCAACATTGTACTTGACCGTTTTCTTAAAATAATTAATTGAAATAGACCATATTTTGTATATAGGCTCTGGGTGATGTTACCCCTTAAACAGATACATAATAGATATTAAATAGTTCAAACCATTTTTAACTTGTTTTATTTAGAAAAAGTGACATTGTCACATATAATTTCTTATTATCTTTGAATTTAAAAGATCGTGACGTAACACATGAGTTCACCCCCCCCTCCCCCATGTCACACTTAGTCACAATTCTCAGACCCCCTCCCTCCCCCTAGCCGCGTGACGTATTATGTGTACGGCCCCTTAATTTGTTATAAAAAATAATTATTTATTATAAACCAATTAAAAATAAAACGTGTTCTGGATAACCATATTCAATTTTATAAATAAGAACTTTAAGAGAATTTATTAAGGATTGCATATCAAAAGGAAAAAATTGTTTCAAGCAAATATTTTATTAATTATGAATTTTTTTGTAAATGCGCGCAAGCTCCGTGATGTGGGCTCCCGCGTCTGACGAATGTCGTGTGCCCCGCTTTGCACGCTTTAACTTGTTTATTTTGGAAGGTTTTCTTTCATAATTTTTTTCAAATTTGGTTTGTATGTTTTGATCTAAAATTCAATTGGAATACTTGTTTATAATAAAAATAGTAATACATTATTTTATTTATATTATTTATTTATAATTTCTATTTTAAGTTTATTCACTGAAAAAAAATATTCTTTTTTTGAGAGGAAAATTCCTCTTGAATCAAGAATATTACACTTAATGGAAGAGTATTTTGCTCTTAAGATAAGAGGATTATTTTTGAGCCATATTCAAGATGAAAATATGCATTAAAAAAAAGGAATCCGCTTAAAACAAAACTATTTTTTTGTTTTTTAATTGTTTTCAGTTGAATATTTCTCGCTTCGAAAAAAACATGTTTTAACTGATTTTTCTTAATTCTATAATTTTATATATTTACTTGTAAACTTTCGTACCTATTAAAAATAAAAAGTAGTAATACAATATATTTTACTACTAAACAGACTACAATTTTTATGAGGGTTTTAAGGCAGTTTCCTCGGTAAGCATAATGTGGTAAAATTTTGTTCAAAATTACGTGAAAGTAAAAAAAAATTTTACTCAAACTGAACGAACTTTTAAAAAATTTATATTACAATATTATCTTTTTACAAATAAAATTTTACAAAATCCTCCAACTGAAAGGATTTTTAAAAAACTTATTTTATACTATATAAATTACAATATAATTTTTTTATGAAATAAATTTTATAAAAATCCTTTCAGTTTGAGTAAAATTTT